AATAAATGTAGTTGTATAAATGTGTATTAAGTGGAAGTACACAAGTGAAGTATAAGTACCTCATCATTTCAGTTAAGTTATTGATTGTGCACATGCATTCAAATAATTTGTATTGCATAAAGGTCCATTTTTAGTCTCTAAAATATGAAGAAATCTAGTGTTTCAGTTTCATATCAATTTAAGAGTGAACATCTTTTGGTTTTAAAATAACCAAATGTTGTTTCGAGGCATCACTTGTATCGAGGGTCACTTGTAAGTGATTATGCATGTGTAATATGACACCTGGTGGACAGTGAAGGTAGTACCAGGGATTTAATGATATGAGACAACCATACAGGCTATGGAGAGCAGGGCCGTCCCTCCCTACAGGCCGATCATGCAGACTGCGTGGGGCCTCACCTTGCGGAGGGGGCCTAATCTTGCGGAGGGGGCCTCACCTTGCGGAGGGGGCCTCACCTTGCGGAGGGGGCCTCACCTTGCGGAGGGGGCCTAATCTTGCGGAGGGGGCCTCAACTGAGCCGAAAATGTTTTTTGAAAGATCATGCAGTACACTTCCAAGTTAGGATCTTAACGTCACTTTCAGGATACAAGAAAAACCAATACATTTGTAATTACCTAATACAACACACAACTGTTTACATGTAATGATTCTAATGCGTTTTATGCTCTTAATGGGAGGGTGTGGCACTGGTTTGAATCCCACTGCAGTCAGCATGTCGTTGTGTCCCTGGACAAGACACTTCACCCCAAATTGTTCCTGAGGGGATTGCCCACAGTATTGAATGTATGTAAGTCGCTTTGGATAAAAGCATCTAACAAGTGACATGTAATGTAATAATGTCTTTCATTTTTGCAAAGCACTTTGAATTGTCTTGTGTTGAAAAGTGCTCTATAAATAAACTTGCTTTGGATCAAGTGTGGAACTTAAGACAAAGCGAAGCAATAAATTACTTTCAAGTGTGTGCGTTTTACTGCGAGAACTGAGGCATTTGGCCCCCGGGCCTTGAGTTTGACACATGTCAGACTGTATATATATATATATATATATAAATAAAGGTGATTATGCATGTGTAGTATGACACCTGGTGGACAATAAAGGTAGTACCAGTGACTTGACACCTGGTGGACAATAAAGGTAGTACCAGTGACTTGACACCTGGTGGACAGTAAAGGTAGTACCAGTGACTTGACACCTGGTGGACAGTGAAGGTAGTACCAGTGACTTGGACACCTGGTGGGCAGTGAAGGTAGTACCAGTGACTTGACACCTGGTGGACAGTAAAGGTAGTACCAGTGACTTGACACCTGGTGGACAATAAAGGTAGTACCAGTGACTTGACACCTGGTGGACAGTGAAGGTAGTACCAGTGACTTGACACCTGGTGGACAGTGAAGGTAGTACCAGTGACTTGACACCTGGTGGGCAGTGAAGGTAGTACCAGTGACTTGACACCTGGTGGACAATAAAGGTAGTACCAGTGACTTGACACCTGGTGGACAATAAAGGTAGTACCAGTGACTTGACACCTGGTGGGCAGTGAAGGTAGTACCAGTGACTTGACACCTGGTGGACAGTGAAGGTAGTACCAGTGACTTGACACCTGGTGGGCAGTGAAGGTAGTACCAGTGACTTGATATTATAGGGAGACATTGTAACTAGCAGAAAACACAGAAACAGCAAATCTCTTTTTATGTTTTATTTTGAAAGATCATGCAGTGCACTTCCAAGTTAGGAGCTTAACATCACTTTCAGGATACAAGAAAAAACCAATACATTTTTGTAATTACCTAATACAAAACAAAAGCTAAACATTACTGAGGAATGTAACAAATTAAATAGTAATAGGGGGGAAAGAAAAGTGTGCAACACCACTAACGCTGCGCTGCAGATCTTAAAAAGGCTCGATAAGAGGTTGATGTTGTCTGTAACCCTGTCGTGGAAATACAAAAAAATCTGGATCAAGTGTGGCGAACTTAAAAGACAAAAAAAGAAGCAATAAATTACTTTCTTTCAAGTGTGTGCTATTTTACTGCGAGAATTGAGGAGGCATGGGGTACGGCACCAGCGGTGGGGGGTGCTGCTGAGGAGGAGCCTGGTTCTGGGGGAAGGGGAAGGGGGGGTGCCCAGCTGGTTGTGGGGCTTTAGCTAGGAAGGGCTGGGCCTGGAAGTTCTGGCCACCGAAGGCTCCGGGCGGGGTGTTAAAGTTGGACTGTCCGTTTCCGTTGTACCCGGCTCCTCCTCCTCCGCTGTAGCCGTTAGCCGCCGCAGCGCCGCCGCCACCACCACCGCTAACGCTGCTGCCGTTTCCTCCATAGCCGCCGTTCTGTGAACTGCTGCTGCTGCTGCCAAAAGGTTTGCTTGGTCCGTTGTCATATCCTCTGCTACCGCTATCCCGGTCCCTAAAACTGCCAAAGTCACGTCTCCCAGAATACCTATCCCGCCGGTCGTCCCTGTAATCACCACCTCGACCGCCCCTTGAACGACCCCCCCCCTGCAGGGAGAGAGAGAGAACAGGAGGTTTAAGAAAGACACACAGCCATTTTGTTTTCAAACACAAGGGTGGCATTCAAATATTTGTTGGTGGTTGAATTGTCCCAAAAATATCAGGTCCCATGTTTGTTTACAATCTCTTTAAACTCAGTGAAAAGATGTTAAAGGAACTGAAAAACTAAGAAAATCTGACTAGCATTTATGATTTTAAGATATGTGCGTCTTGTAAATACATGTTGTACAGCGGACTACCTAAACGGCATCTAGTTCCCTTTCCCACTGTACATTTTGAGAGAACTCACACATCAAAATGTACAATTAGAGTGCATTAGTTAGGATGCTTAGTAAACATTTTACTTATATGCCATAACGTGCTTAAGTGCAACTATGCTGAAACTAGAGAAAGTGTTATGAGAGTTAGACGTTTCTTTGTGACACTGAGCACTCTCTAATTAAAGATTATAATTAGGGCTTGTCCACATAACGTACTGACGAGTGAGTAAACAGGTTTCTTTGTTCCGGTCTTTTCGGCACAAAGTTGTCCATTGTTTTCGGGCATCCCTGTTTCCTAAAGCCGGGTCAATCTTAGCGTCCACTGGATTATACTCAGTCACTCTGACAGACAGGCATAGTGGCGGGAGGCTGATGTTTCTTAAGCTATTCAATATGTTTGAAGGGTGACTTGATATACTTTGTAAGTTTGTAGTATCTATACGCACTTTTAGTTCAATGAAAAGTGTTTAGAACCAGATATTGTTTTGGGACAATTTGACCAGAAATAGTGATATAGAAGTGAATAAAAAGCCCCTCGAAAGTCCCAGAGCAAAGAGCAGCAGAAAGAGAGTGGCTGCACTTCACAGCACAGTTTCTGTATCTCACCAATTGGATTTACCTCCTCTGTCTTCCGCCATCTGGAGGAGCTTGGGGTTGATGGCCTGGTTGGCTTCGCGGAGCACAGCGATGAGATCACTGGCCTGGCGCATGTTGTTCGGAGTGAAGAAGGTGTAGGCCGTGCCTGTCTTTTGGCTACGAGCCGTTCTGCCAATGCGGTGGATATAGTCCTCAGAGTTGTTGGGGTAGTCAAAGTTGATGACAAATTTCACATCTTCCACATCTGTAAGATTGTGTTGCGGTGTGGCATAAAGGAAAAGCAGGACAGCACACAAAGAGACGTGTGCCAGCGCCACCACAACAACCAGATCAAAAACAAAAAGTTAGTGGAGGTCATGAGGTAGAGAAACGGCTGGCTAATATCCACAAAACTCTAACTCCTTTGGGGAGACTACGGTGGGAAAAGAGAAACGATGCACACTCCATTGGCTTCCAATCCAGTGGGATAATAAAATAAAAACCCTCCCCTTCACTGGCAGACCACCCTCAGAAAGAATGGATCAGAAGTCTTACCATTTTCTGGAGTATGCATTCACTAGTCCATTCCCATTGCAGCACACGCCCAAAACACTGACTCATTACTGCCTCCTAGTGTGCCTGAACTAGCACTACAGCAAGGTCCCATCTCTCTCTAAAGCTCACTGCAGTGTCTGTTGATCTGAACCAATTTGCAGGATGCCTACAAACAGTGCATCCCAAGCTTTTTTTCCAGACCCAGTGTTCTCATAATGTCTCTCGTTGGCAGGTCTCGACATGACTTTGAAAACGCAGGCGAGGGAGGAGTGTGAGCTTGGATTTTGTCCAAGTGTGTCCAACAACGAGCATGTCCCACTGTCACCAAAAGCGCCAGTAGTAAGCCATGTCATTTACAGAGGTGAAGAGGTATGGTATCGATCTGACAGAACTGCTCTTCGAAAGTTTTTTTTAAGAAACTTGCAACGTTAAAATCGCCACCCATGCTTTACAACGAGTCTACGCAACAGAAAGCACCTTCCAAATGACTCAAACAGCTTGCGATGCACGGTACATGCAAGACAATAGGAGACAGTGTAGCTGGGCTTTGAGCTGGGACGGTTACAGAGCCTGGGTGTGTGAAGCAGTCCAAACCATTGCCAGAGAACAGACGAGCATTATGGGGGCGGAACTGTGGCCAGCCCTCAACTCGCCCACCCCGTTTTTAGGCAGGCCAGCGCGTTATTATATGCTGCTCTTTTGGCCTGGTCACCTCTGTGTCTATCTGCACGACTGGGAGACCCGCGCCTCGCCAGTCAGGACACCTCCAAGAATCCTCCTTCCCCCTCTGGAGAACCTGGGCTTGTCATGCCAAGGCCCTGCCACACAGACTGCGCCTTCAGGTCAGGGGAGAAACTCAGAGAGAAGCAGAAGGAGTTACAGAAAGCAAACACTTTCCTCTCTTGTTTTTAAAAATGCATTAAAGAGTGGACGAGTGTTCAGGGAGGATACTGACCTAAACCCCTGGAGGCAACATCTGTGGCAATGAGAATCGGAGCCTTTCCGTATTTGAACTCTGAAAAATAAAAATAAAAGGTTATTTAGACATGTTTCTTGTATATTCTACAATTGTTTTATGAATTACTGTTGATGCAAGCTTACCATTGAGAACCCAGTCTCTCTCTTGCTGGCTTTTATCTCCATGGATTCCCATACCAGGCCATCTAAACAAAAAGATTGAAGGTTTCATCGTTAGTCCATGCAGGAACAAGTCAGTAAAACAGGCAATGCTACCGTGATTAACCCTTAGATGCATAAGTGGGTCTTTTTTTACCCGGTGAGGTGGTTTTCTTGAAGTATCTTTGCAATTAAAAATGTGCATCATTTCATATTCCAGCTATTCCTCAAAAAACATGTTTTGATATCATGCCATTCAATTTCTTTGTTTACATTTCAAGAAATTGTAGTTTTTGTATTTCTAGTAGGGTCCATTACTCGTGCATCTAAGGGTTACGTGTTTTCATGTCAACACTTACCCATCCTTTCTCATCCTCCTGGTGAGATCATCACAACGCCTCTTGGTCTCCACAAAGATGATGGTCTTGTTCTCCTTCTCGCTCATGATTTCCTCGAGCAGGCGGATCAGTCTGAAACAAAGACAGCAGCTCGGTCAGTACCAACGTATCAGTCAACTTGAGTACAAATATTTGAGTATATATTTTAACACGTGTTTTTGTATCTCTCACTACGTCCTAAATGCATGCAGTCTCACTTAGACCGCAAGTGTTTTTAAGAGTAAGAAAGTGTGCTAACAAGTGTCTAAGAAGAGTAACCACTTGTTCAGTTTGTCTCATCACTGATTGAGATTAGTCAGCCACTGTGTCGCTGCCATCTCACCCACAGTGATGGGTTAATATTCCCTTTCTACGACAACTCACCCTGTCACTGTTTAGACAAAGAAAGCGCTTTTTTGAAGGGGGCTCCAAATGATTAATAGGCAAGTAAATTTAGCAAAGTAATAGTAAGAAATGGCACCAAATAGTTTGATCAATACATGTCTTTGGAAGTAGTGAATGATAAATTAGATCTGAACTATACAGCACCAACTAATAACTTTAACATTGACATCACTAGATAATAATGGGGGCCTTTATTGTGTTCATTATGACAACGTGACTCACTTGTTTTCCTTCTCTCCGTCATTGCAGACGTCCACGATCTGCAGGATGTTGTGGTTGGCACTGAGCTGCAGCGCTCCGACGTTGATCTGGACGTACTCCTTCAGGAAGTCTTCTGCAAGCTGGCGGACCTCTTTGGGCCAAGTAGCACTCCACATGAGAGTCTGACGGTCAGGCTGCGAGAAAAGAGACATTTAGTACAACGTTTCCATAACTAACAAAGCATTCATCTCCCATGTAGAGCTTCTCTTGGATAACTGGGACATTTATATTCAATCTTTAACTAGCTACTTGTTCAGTTTGTCTCATCACTGATTGAGATTAGTCAGCCACTGTGTCGCTGCCATCTCACCCACAGTGATGTGTTAATATTCCCTTTCTACGACAACTCACCCTGTCACTGTTTAGACAAAGAAAGCGCTTTTTTGAAGGGGGCTCCAAATGATTTACTTCTTATTAGGGATGCTCCGATCGATAAGCCGATAAAATAGCGGTATGAAACGTGTTTGAAGCAGAAATCCTGCAGCTCCACCCGCTGTGACGGACCGGTGAGCCGAGCGAAACACACTAAGAGTTAGACCTAACACACTTCACTATTTCATCTACCTCTGGAACAAGCTAAACTAGTTATACATATATTTATAGAGAGGAGAGGGAGAGCGAGGAAAAGAGGGAGAGGAAAATGGAGGAAAAGAGAGGGGGAGAGAGAGCCCCATTAACTGAGTTTTAAACATCCCTAGCCCCGCCCACTCGATACTGATTCCGGCCCCAAAATGGGCGATCGGAGCATCCCTACTTCTTGTCATAAAATGTGGTGTCTGGTGTAGAAAGAGACCATTTTTATATTCTAAAATCTGCGAGTATAGGCCTCCCAAACGTACCCGGATTTGGTCGACGATTTTTCTGATCTGTGGCTCGAAGCCCATGTCCAGCATTCTGTCGGCCTCGTCCAGCACGAGGTAAGTGCAACGGCGGAGGTTTGTCTTTCCGGACTCGAGGAAGTCGATGAACCTGCCAGGAGTGGCGATGCAGATCTCCACGCCTACAATGAGAAGAGTAACCATGAGAACGGCATTTTTGAAACTTACATTTTTTTCCTGGCTGAGCGCTGAGGACTTGTACGTACTGCAAGGAGCCAATGGGGGCAAACTACCTGCTTTTATGTTAAAGAGGGGATTGGGGTTGTCAGTGTCCTTTGTGTATTCTGTTACTATTAATCATCCCTCGTTTTCAACTTGGTTTGGCCAAGCTACTATATAGGTTCCTTAGTTTGTCATTGTAGCAAGTCAGTTTGTTGAGGTAACACCTGTTAAGTTGATTTCATGTGTATATGAAGTATTTTTCTTCGATATGCTTAGTTATTAGAGATTATTGGTTTATGATTTCGGTAAATTAAAAAAAAGCCAGTTTATTTAAACCACTCTTAATTTTTTTGTATTATTAGATTGAAAACTACACAATACCTCTTTCCAGGTCACGGATCTGGGGTCCTTTCGGGGCGCCTCCATAGATACATGTGGACTTCAGACGTGAAGCTCTGCCGTATTCTGCTGCCACCTGTTGCACCTGCTGAGCCAGCTCACGTGTCGGGGCTAGCACCAAGCACTGTGGAGAGGGAAAACAACTTTAAGCATGCTTCAAAAAAAGAATTCAGAGATGCACCCTGAGGCTACTTGTTTAATTTGTCTCATCACTGATTGAGATTAGTCAGCCACTGTGTCGCTGCCATCTCACCCACAGTGATGGGTTAATATTCCCTTTCTACGACAACTCACCCTGTCACTGTTTAGACAAAGAAAGCGCTTTTTTGAAGGGGGCTCCAAATGATTTATAGGTAATTAGCATGGGAAGTTCTGGGAATACTTACAATGGGTCCGTCTCCACGCTCCAGGAAAGGCTGGTGGTTGATGTGGACAATTGAAGGCAATAAATACTGTGGAGAAAAATACACGACAGTCACTACCATGATCTAAACAAGTGTTAACAGTCACTACCATGAGCTAAACAAGTGTTAACAGTCATAGATTTACTATCTGAATATTAAACTTACAGAAAGAGTCTTGCCAGAGCCAGTCTGTGCAATGCCGACCATATCCTTTCCACTGAGAGCCAGAGGCCAGCCCTGAGCCTGGATGGGTGTCGGTTCAGTCCAGCCCGCTTTGTTGATCACATCCATCACATAGGCTGGAGAAAAGGAAAAATAAAAATTAATGTGTGCAAACATTTCTGACATACACCACAACTTTCTAAGCATCTCAAATGTATTTAGACTTCAGATCAGATGTATTTTATTAATCCCAAAGTGGGAAATTGATTTATTGCAGCATAAGGCTTTGGAGAAGATTTAAAAAAATAAAAAAGATAGTTATAGTGTATGTAGAATAAAGAGTATACAATATACAGAAGATATAATACACTAATTGACCAACCTAATACTCACAAAAGTACAAATTGTTTAGGTGGATTGAAATGGAAATGTTGGCATCCCATAAGAAAACTCAAAAGTTCTAAAAAAGTTCATATTTCAAAAAAAAATGAAAATGGGTTTATTGTATACTTACATGGGAAGCTGGCTTCGTGGAAATTGGCAATAGGATTTGGGCAATCTCTCCCCTTAATGGTAATGATTTTGGTCCGTCTGTATGTTTCAACTTCAGCCTGCAAGAAGAAAAAAAAATGTTGTTCAGTGATCATTGCATAACCTCAACACGTGCAGGAGGAAGTTATGTAACACTGCGTGGACCGAACCATGCTGTCTGACTACATACCGGGTTCCTGCGGGTAACATCGGGATGCTGTTGGTAGAAGTTCTTCTCAAATTTAGGGAGCTCATCCATGTTCCATTGTTTCTTCCTCAGCCTTTCTCCGGGGTTTCCGAACTTCCCTCCACCGCCTCCACCTCCACGACCACCACCTCCGCCGAAGCGAGGGGGTCCTCCGCCACCACCGTACCTGCAAACACATGCGCCGTTTTAGTCACACATATAGTCCGTTTACAGCAAGTGAACAAAGACTGGTGTTAACTGCGTCATTCTGTAGGAAATGTAAAGCTGTCATATACTTTTCAACCAGTAGAGGAACAATGGAAAAAAACCAGCCGGCATTTTGTGAACGCTTTCATTGCTGCCACATGGCGGAAAAAAGCCGACTATCTGCCTTAAAACTGTGTTTAAAAGGAAATCTGTTAAATAAGACCTCATCTGGAGATTGTAGTGCCATATAGTACAATAGATTATAACATTCTCTTCACACTGAACATTTTACATTAATATGTAATGTATATATCCCATTCCGTACGCATTTTATATAAATAAAATCTTACTTTAATAATGTGTGAGCTGTAATTTGGCCTTTCTTATTACAGCCTTTCGCTTAGTTCCGTTTTCCAGTTTGAGATTTAAATGTATATGTTCTACTCGTCATTTTGCAAATTATGTGTAATGCCTTTGTTTTAACACAATGTTGTACATTTTCCCCATTTGGGATCAATAAAGTATATCTTATTAAAGAGTGAGCTTAGCCACCGTTATGCTAAAGGAAGCTAATGCCGGGACACGAGGCCAAAACTAGGCCTCTGGCCAAAGACAACAGGCCCCGGCGCGGGCCGCACGAGGAAATAAAACCCAACAACCAACGGTTTTTCAAATTAGAAAAACGCCGGTTATAAGGAACACATCAAATATAAACGGTTTCCTTTCATATTGACTGGAAAATAAACCATATCTTGTTATATTTTATACCGTTTCTCTCGTTTTTTAAAAAGTGTTATGTCATCTATTTCCACCGACCACACGAGGCCGAAACTGGTCTAAAACATCCGAAATAAAGGTACTTACCCTCTGTCTCTATCCCTGCCGCGGTCTCTGTCTGAATATCCAGGCATTTTGTAAACAAGTTGTATAAATAAAAAAGTTAAATACCCTTCAATGTGGATTTTACCACCGACTAAAGAAAACCTGACCGGCAGTGGTGCTGTAATGCCGGTAATGTAAAAATAAGAGCCGGTACTTATAGCTAGAGGAAGTACCCTCTTCCGATGTATCCATCCGCCTACCGGTTTTCTACCGACAGACAACATAGACCCAAAACTGAGTAGTGAAACTGTGCTTTTGATTAAATGTAAGCATAGAAAATCAAATATTAATCCTTTATCTCTTCAATTAATATATGTTATTAATTATACAACTGGTAGAATAATCTAAATGTTTTTTTCCCCAAAAATCACACGCGTTTATGTAACACAAGATAAAAACACGAACAGATCCAAAACGGTACATAGACGTTGAAACGTTGCATACATGTGGAAACGTTACATTAATGTTGATAACGTTTATTCTTTATTTCTCTTAATTCTGTTTGTCGGTGTTCCTTTTTGATACATTGAGAAATTATGGTTTCAACAATTGTCTGCGGATCGATATGTACGAGAGAGACATAAAGTGGTAATCCGGCTCTGACTCGCTTCCGATGTAATTACGGTAAGTGACGTCACCAGGACCAACCCAAACATAAATATACGCTTTCCTCATTCTTTCTTTAATAACACCAAATGTGCCTCATATAATGACTTTTTAATCTAATTGCAGGTCAAATGAGAGGACAACAAAGTGTTATTGTATTATTACAGATTTGTTTTGGTCCACTGATGTTTAAAATGTGAAAATTGAAAGCTTTTTTCTTTAAGATTAAGATCAAAGGTGCACCAAAGAGACTATACTGTATGTGAAAGTGAGCTTTACTGACTCTCTTGATTTTGGAAATTGTAAAACTATTTTGTCTGACATTATGAGTGTATCATCCAGAAAAACATACAAGAAGATGTGCATACATTCTCTTCAAAGTAGTCTAATTAATGAAAGACAAAATACCAAAATGTATGTTTGGTATCAACATTTTCTTAGCTTTGACCACTTGTTTAATGTAACTAGGTAAATTAACTAAATTACTTTACTACAGTGGTTTTGGAGATTGGAATTAACCATTTAAATATCTAATAATTTATAACATATAACACAGATTAGGCTACCTAGCAGTATTTTTGCTGGCATTCAACTTGTAAAAAATATGTAATTCTTTTATTTTTATCTTTTATTTGACATGTTGTATATCTTATATGAATATAATATCTTATTGTAAATGATTTTACTTTTTTATTCCTATTATAATATCTTTCATTATTTTCCAGCAACTGTCACCAAACTCAATTTACTCAAAAAGTATTTCCAATGAGCTCCACTTTCACCAGCTGCAGCATAAACACATTAATGCATCAATAATAGTACTTTAACTTTGGGTATTTTAATAATATATTGATGCTTATACTTTGTTTAAGAGGTTTTAAATGCAGGACTTTTACTTGAGGCAGAGTAAATTGAGATAGAGGTATTTCTATACACAGGGAATACGAGAGTTTGTGCAGACGTAAACCTTTCTGTAGTTAGTTGCAGTTGCATAATTACGAGACAAAGCAAATACATTGTACTTGACACCTATCTTCCAACAGCTTCATTATCTTTTGTTCTTTTACCCCTTCCCCCCCATTTTGACCCATCTGCCAGACGTTTTAATCCGGACTGGTATCAGTGGGAGGTCAGAGACATTCAGATGTAAAGTCTCTGTGTCCCCGTACTCAAGTACTGTACTTCAGTATCATTTTGAGGTACTTGAGTTTTTCCATTGTATACGGCTTTATACTTCTACTCTACTACATATTGGAAGCCAAAATCATTCCCTTTACTTCACTACATTTGATCGGTTAGTTTACAGAATCAGATTATGAATAAGAAATATAAATGAACGTATTAATTATAATGTATTTCTGTGATTTGGTGAAGTCGGCGCCGCCTTTACTAGAAGCAGAGATTAAATGACACACATTAATCATCACTAATTATAATCCAATTACAAAATATATAATTTTGAAAACAGCCATTCAGCAAAAACAAGGACTTTTACCTTTGGTACTCTGAGTATGAAGTCCCAATACTATTGTATTTTTACTTAAATAAGATTTGAATGCAGGACTCTTACTTATCAGAGCACTGCTTATTAAATCTAATTTAAAGGGGCCCTATTCTGCTGATGTTCGGGTGTATATCAGTATGTAGTGTCTCTACTTTAAAGAGTCCTCTCCTGCTGATGTTCAGGTGTATATCAGTATGTAGTGTCTCTACTTTAAAGAGTGCTCTCCTGCTGATGTTCAGGTGTATATCAGTATGTTGTGTCTCTACTTTAAAGAGTCCTCTCCTGCTGATGTTCAGGTGTATATCAGTATGTCGTGTCTCTACTTTAAAGAGTCCTCTCCTGCTGATGTTCAGGTGTAAATCAGTATGTCGTGTCTCTACTTTAAAGAGTCCTCTCCTGCTGATGTTCAGGTGTATATCAGTATGTAGTGTCTCTACTTTAAAGAGTCCTCTCCTGCTGATGTTCAGGTGTATATCAGTACGTAGTGTCTCTACTTTAAAGAGTCCTCTCCTGCTGATGTTCAGGTGTATATCAGTATGTAGTGTCTCTACTTTAAAGAGTCCTCTCCTGCTGATGTTCAGGTGTATATCAGTACGTAGTGTCTCTACTTTAAAGAGTCCTCTCCTGCTGATGTTCAGGTGTATATCAGTATGTAGTGTCTCTACTCTAAAGAGTCCTCTCCTGCTGATGTTCAGGTGTATATCAGTATGTAGTGTCTCTACTTTAAAGAGTCCTCTCCTGCTGATGTTCAGGTGTATATCAGTATGTAGTGCCTCTACTGGTATAAGCGTAATAGGGCCTCTTTAAAGTGTTAAATAACAATAATTCAGATGAAAAATCTTTTTATAACATAATAAAAACATGGAAAAAGGACAGCGAGTTTCTTTGTACAAGGCCTTACATTGTTAGACAAAGGCAAGTTTAATTAGAACTAATCACACACAAAAATAAAATACTCTTACAAAATGATAGTGTTAACATAAATTGCATCAGTCAGCTATGAGAGATATAGTCCTGCTAGTGGATCATGCTATTAAAAAAACAAAGAGCCTCTCTTGATGAAAACGGGTCGTGTTTTTGCGTGTAGTGTAGGAACAGAAAGCGTGTGCACTGGACTGTAAATGTGTTAGAAAAGTCGCCGTTAAACACACACATCGTTCTGCTCGTGTGCAATTTCATTTTTTTCTCCTACTTAAGTTAAAAGATAAATTACAGGTCGTCGGATCCACACATATGAACAATATCTCGTTACTGTACAAAGCACCATCAGAGGACACTTCACTTTGCATACACATGTCCACATACATCGCCTTTTTTTTTTAAGTGTATGCAAATGTTAAGAACAGTCCACGGTCATTAGAGATTGCTAGACAGGCAGCATCTTTTTTGAAAACATTCAAGACTCTCATTTTTAATACAAAACAATCCCTCTTTTTAGAAATAAAGACATCACTGGTTGTATCGTGTAGCGAACAGAGAGAACATGTCTCTCAGTTCCCTTTCAACCAAAAGCTCATAAGGACACATGCTGTGGGTGAATTTAAAAGACCTTTTTAACCCCGTAACATTCAGGAAATCAAGACAGATGGGTTTTTTCTTGTAATATCAAATGACATCTCCTGAGAATGTGGCTAGCTAGAGCTCTTGATTAATGTGAAGTGGCCACAAAGCAGTCGTATGTCAAGGCGTGGCAATAGAGAGGTGCAGGAATGAGTCCTAAAACCTGGACATTAGTTAGCATTTTAGCACTCCCTTGTCTGGAAGTCAATGGTTTTCTGAATGTGTTTTTCGTTGTGAGCCTGAAATAAAGTCACAAGCTGAAGAGATTTTAACGTTTTGTTCTACGACATAAAATACATCAGTAAATACCCCACTGGTACATTTTAAAACAGCGGTTGATAACAAGTGTCTAAATGAGACGATTAAACGTCATCACGTCAAACATTAGCCGCCTTTAGCTTAGCGGTGGTGACGTGAAGTCATGTGACCGTGCTCTAGTTCCTTTATAGCCCAACATTAGCCACCTTTAGCTTAGCGGTGGTGACGTGAAGTCATGTGACCGTGCTGTAGTTCCTTTATAGCCCAACATTAGCCACCTTTAGCTTAGCGGTGGTGACGTGAAGTCATGTGACCGTGCTGTAGTTCCTTTAAAGCCCAATATTAGCCGCCTTTAGCTTAGCGGTGGTGACGTGAAGTCATGTGACCGTGCTGTAGTTCCTTTATAGCCCAACATTAGCCGCCTTTAGCTTAGCGGTGGTGACGTGAAGTCATGTGACCGTGCTGTAGTTCCTTTATAGCCTAACGTTAGCCTAACATAACGTGGTGTTAATGTGTGGAGATTATCCTGCTGAACTAAACGTGTAAGTATCATAAACACTGAGATTATTTCCTGCAACAATCCAAAATCACATGGAGAGAACCCATTGGACCAGGGAGACGCTGCCTTCAGGGTCTTTTAACAGAAATACGTCATCCCTGCACCGCTGTATCTTGTACAGATCCTTGTATATACCTAGCAAAACACACGGTGTAGTTAATGTCGTTTCAGGGTGGACTGACTTTGTGTTCTGCTTGGAAAGATGGAGCGTTGCTACATGGAGTACAGTTTGTAAAATATAAAAAAGGGAAGAGCCAGCAGCTTCTTGCAGGTTCCACGAGTTAGTAAAGAGTCTTGAGTTATTAGCAGCTGAAGAGATTCTTTTCAATGATAAAAAAAGACATAGTGAAGACGCAGCGGATCCTCGGTCGTCTCTGAGCTCCTGCAGAGAGGATCTACTCCACAGCGAAGCCACACGTCTCCTCGATGGCAGTGAGCAACTTGTCGTACAGTTTGTCGTAAAGCTCGTACGGAGGAATGTCAATCCGGTTAAAACTGGGGAAAAAAGAGGGAACGAAAATATATTAAAATCGATGATGCACCCAAGGACACCTTACAATTCCTAAAATATTCTAAGGAAAGAAATAATGACATTAGTAGAAACACAACAGGTCTGGGTGATGTTTGCTCACCAGGTGTGGGCTTTG